CATTCATTGTTCCTGGCGCGCTGACAGGCGGCCCGACGCACGGGCACCGCGGCTCCCCCCAACGATGTCTAATCAGCCACTTAAACACTGATTCGTTTCAAAACTGGGTCTCAGTCCATAATATTACACACAAATACGGACTGTCTGAAGGCAGACGTTCTTCTACGACACAGATTCCCTTTCTTTTTATGTACACTCCGCACACGTCCCCCACCCACCGCAGAAAGTTGAAAGCTATTCCATTAAAAGCTCAGCGAGGCTTTGCCCCCCATTAAAAAAATTATGACCAAGATCCTGAATGAGTCTCAGGAGAATGCCCTTCAGTTGCAGAAGCAGCACTAACATTTGACTACGATGACTGCTTCACAAGCAAAGCAAAACGTTTTATTTTGTTGATTCCAAAATAAACAGTCCTCCATTTTTTCATACTCCCCAAAAAACAGATTGGGACGGGTTGCTGACTTCCATGTGCTAGACTTTCCCACTTTTTTAACATACTGTTGATAACGTTATTTAGAAACTGGCAAAAAAAGAAGAATAAAAAAGAGCACCTTTCCATAATCTCCACTTATCTTGATGTTTAAAAAAAAACTGAAGTTTTTACAGTTTAATCCAAACCGCACAACTTGAACCCTATATATTTTGATGATAATGAACTTTTGTTGATAAAATGTGATAAGTGCCTAAGAAATATGCAGATGTTTTATTTCAAAGAAGCAAACAATTAATTCTGCAGTAAGTGACATTTAAACCAAGCACTAAGCTACTAACAGGGGTGTCAAAATCATTCTCACTGGGGGCCACGTCAGCCTTGCACTTGCCTTCAAAGGGCCGAATGTAACTTTAGGACCGTGTAAATGTAACTGCTCCTTAACAGTTAAGCGAGAGCTCGGCGCTGCCGCCGCTGAGTAGAAACAAGGCGCCGGGCCGGATAAAACCAGGTGGAGGCCGGATTCAGCCCGCGGGCCTTGTGTTTGCCACCTGTGTACCAAGAGCTTGTCACATGGAATCGAGTAGGAACTTTGTCTTTTTGTGCTGTTCCTGTCCCACCCCAAATTCTATGTAATCCCTTATATCATCACAATTTATTACAGTTATTTGTCAACTTACTTATGTCCCTCATTACAGTAGTTTTACTCAAGAGTGGGACCTTCCTGTGTATTTTTCATGCCCCAGTACTCAGAAGGCATTCGACAGAAAGTTTTCCCTTCCAAAAAGCTTTCCTTACAAACTCAAAAAGATTCTGGTCATTGATAACACACACACACAATGACCAACATTATATTTCTCTTGAAAAGGAAATCGGCAAAGGAAAACATCGTGAAAACCTTGGCCCACCCTCCCCAACCACCTCCTCGTCCACGCGGAATGCAGTCCGTCAGGACTGCAGTGGGTCGCAAGCTATCCCCACATGCGTGCACACTTGTGACTTTTTCTGACATCAGGTGGACTCCACAGCCTACTTTCGGGTCTTAACTACAAACTGATAGACAAATGATACAGAAACGTGAGGAGTCTGATAATTTGTGGAATTATATTCATGTGGAAAATCCATGAGCTAACAATAAAGAATTGTGAGTAAAACCAAGACCTTTGCCCTGGCTGGCATAGCTCAGTGGATTGAGCACGGGCTGTGACCCAAAGCATTGCAGGTTCGATTCCCAGTCAGGGTACATGCCTGGGTTACTAGGCCAGGTCCCCAGTGGGGGCCATGTGAGAGGCAACCACACATTGATGTTTCTCTCTCTTTTTTTTTTTTTTTCTCACTCCTTTCCCCTCTCTAAAAATAAATAAAATCTTAAAAAAAAAGAAAGCAAATTAAAAAAAAAAGGACAAGGAAGTTTAAAAAAATAAGAAACTCCTAAAAACCAAGACCTTTATGGAAGGCAAGTTAATGAGCTCCCGTACGTTCACCTCTTTCAAAGAGACCACCTGCAGTTAGAGGACCTGTGTCCGGGCCTAGAGCCTGTCACCCTGCGGCCCTGTGCTCCGGGACACAGAGCTGACCCGGGGCTGTGTGAAGCAGCAGACAAGGAAGGGCGAGAAGTGGACGAGCGTGACTCATGGTAACTTCCAAGTGAACGCCACCTGTTAGGCAAGTGCCCGCTCTGCAGAGATGCCTGTCCCACCCCATGTCTCAACAACAGAGGAGACGCCAAACAGGGCTTCCGGAGACCTTACCTTACCCAAAGGAATCACTCCCGCTGTCTCTTCCCACCGATGAGGTTGGTGGCCTGGCCACAAAGATGGTCAGACTTCATGTGGACGTTGGCCCCTTCCACTCGTGCAAAATTTCCCCATATCAAATTAACTATGGTGAACGGAGTCTTACTTTGGATTCCCATCCTCGACTGACTGAGCTGCGCACTGGTGTGCGGCCACGTGGCAAGGACGGCCACGTACCTGTACTCGCTGGTGTGGAGCGGACAAAGCCCCCCCCAGCCAGGCACAGAAGGGCTGTGCCGGAGAGAAGGGTGTTCTCCGCTTACCCCCTCCAGAACTGAAGCTGCTTTTACTCCCCCTCTGCTGTCTAAAAAGGCTTTTATTATATGTTGCCCTCCTTTGTAATAAAGCCCTCCTTTGGGGGGGAAAATCTTCAGTAATAAGCCTGCTAGTCCTTTCACAGAAGATTAACAGAGGGCACTGAACTTAAAACCACTCTGGTGTGTTTTACCCAACCACGGCATTCCGTGTCGCTTTCATCCCCTTTCTCCCACTTCCGTTAATAGTTACTTTTAAAGAATTAGAACAGAAGCAAATCAATAATGTGTACAGATGTTACGAAAGTATCAGGCCATGCTCTGTGTAAAAGAAACACGTAAACGGTTAACAGGCTAAGATAATTTATAACCTTCCTTTTACCAAATGCACGTGACCTATAATTCCACCCACACAACAGGCAGCTCGCTGAAAGCCTCGCCGCAGAAGACGGCTCTCACAGTCAAACAGCCGCCATTGCCACCACCAACAGATGTTTGCAAAACGCCTGCTCTGTTTAGGGCAACACCAGATCTGCTAGCAAGCAAGAACTAAAGAAGAAAAAGAAAGAACAGAAGTTTCTTCTTCCTCTTACGCCCTTCGCTTTCTTCTGCGTCCTCCCTTCTCTGCCATAGGAAGGCCCTTGTTTGCTTTCTCTCCTCCTATCTTCAAGGTTAAGTCCAAGTTCTCCTGCATTAACCCCTCCACCTGGTTTGGCTCTTTCCCTCTTGGGCCAAGAACACCCAAGGAAGAGAGATTCGGTTGACTGATAACTTCTGGGCTTTTCCTCCTAGAGCTGGAAGATGGTTGGGTATCTTAGAAAAAAGAGGCTCCAGCTGCCTGGCTCCATCATCCATTAGCTTCCGTTTGAAGTTACAGGGCGCTGGGGACTCGGGGTCTCAGCACACACTCCCCACCTGTTGGCATCCTCGGGACACCCATGATTTTCGGCGTTTATGGCAACAGAATCAGAAATTTTGTCAAACTATTTTCTGTGACCTTCTTACCCTATTAGAGATGCATACGCCAGCCACATTCTACCATGGATATTTTCATCACCTGCACCTACCATTTCCTGCATCGTCTGATAAAAGTAAGAGAAGAAACTTAAGATTTCATGGGACTAAAGGGTTATTTACAAATGAGCAAGGAAGCCTCAAAACTGGGTGGAAAATAATGATCTAAAAACCCATTATAATCTGCCCTGGCTGGTGTGGCTCAGTGGACTGAGTGCCGGCCTGCAAACTGAAGGGTTGCTGGTTCGATTCCCGCTGGCACATGCCTGGGTTGCGGGCCAGGTCCCCAGTGGCAGGGGGTGGGAGAGGCAACCACATATGGATGTTTCTCTCCCTCTCTTTCTCCCTCCCTTTCCCTCTCTCTAAAAAGAAATAAAACCTTAAAAAATTATTTAAAAAATCCATTATAATCTGCTTTCAACTAAAGTGGTACTGAAATCACGAAGCATACTACAGCTGTATAGGTGGCAAAGTAACATAAGTGAAAAAGCTAACTATGAGTCCTAATGGCCCAATAAATGCTCCCAAATACGCCACAGGTTTTACAAATATTTAGCTCACGACTAATTTTCATTACAGTTCTTATTCCAAAGTTGTAAAGATGAGGTTTCATAATTTACAGCAATGATGGCCACCTTCTTTAATCATCACAAAGGACCTGTTTTACTAATTTCCCACCACAGAGGTTCTGTTTTGAAATATTTGGTCTATTAAAGTAATTTCTAAAAGTAAATTTTGTTTATGTCTAAAACCCATAAAGAACAGTTCAGCTCTCTCTCCTACCTGCCATTTTCTATTCATTCCCTCTACTTTTTTAACTTAGCCTTCCCTTCCATTTGTGTTTGTGTATACGTATGTGTGTATATATATACGTATACACATGCGCAAATATTCACAAATCTTAGATAAGCATGTTCAGAGACAAAAAGGTAAGTAGTTGATAAATGTAAGCAGATTTCAATTACTTAACGGTTTAAAAATAAAACACCCAGAGTCCCTGAAAATATTCACCAGGCTTCCCCATCTTCACACCAGTTATTTTGAAACTTCCAGCACATTATTTATATCCTTAGAGGAAGTAAACACACAAAAGGTTTATGGAGGCATTTGGGCCAACCAGCAGTGACTGCTTCCAAACAGTTCTCTCCGGAATCCAGGGTGTCTAAAGCCCAAAAGCAAATGTCTTAGGCCTTCAATGCCATCCCTAGAATCCCAGGTTGGGCTCTTGGGGAAAAGTACAATTCTTGGGGGCTTGCGCTGCTTGGCCTGGTGCCTCGCTGCACATTTAGCTGGGCAGTTAGTCTCCCAGGGCAGCGCCCACTATGGCCTGCCTGCTATTCCTTACCATCTGGGGCCTGGAGTGGATATAAGCTTGAACCACATAAGCAGGACGGGGTGGGGGGTGGGGACCTCTCATTCACATTTAACTGAAATTGGTGGCAGGACAATGCACTGTGCCATCTAGGCTTTTCACAGAAGAGAGGAAAGAAAGGGGGAAGTACGAACCTTCTCCTTTGTTTTCTGGTTCTCTGCTCTAAGGTCTTCATATTCGCCTATTGCTAAAAGAAAAAAAAAAAAAGAAAGAAAGCAACGTTATAACACGATCAGAAGTTTACTGCAGAAAAACCTGGGAGCTCAACTAAACCCCATTGTCTGTTTCCTAGGCGGGGGGGTGAGTGCAGAAGCAGAAGAGGCTACCGGAGGAGGAAGGCTTCTACTCTGAAGAGAAAGGAAGGGGAAGAGACCACAGCAAACGCGAGTCCGCCAAGCCGAATTTCGGTTCTCCCTGGGCCACCAGGAAGACCTATGAGCCAAAAGTGACCTATGACAGTCCCTTCTCTTTGACATTCAGGACTTGGGCCTGGCAGGTGGGTGTTCCCTGAAGTCCCTTCCAGCACTGAGAGTCCGTGGTGCTGCCATCAAGGGTTAACCTTTTAAGTCACTGCCGGAAGATGAAGTAGGCGCACGCATGGGACTCGCTGTCACACCGCTGCTGTACCCACACAGCACAAAGGTCACGCCACGAGCAGTCAGCTCAGAACCACTATTTCCAGGCACCGCACGATCATCGTTCACCAGGCCCTGAGCAGACACCAGCCAGATTCATGTCACTGGGTCGGAAAAACATGTGAATTATTTGGAAATACTTCCAACTCTATGGGGAAGACAGCAGTTTTTAACTTAGAACCCTCTACTACTAGAAAAAAAAAAAGCAACCTGAACCCCCACATTCATCTTTTAGCCAAAGCACCATTTTTAGATACCCTTACGGTTGAGAACATTACATTGAAAGCGCACGAGGGACAAGGGGCGGGAGAGAGAATGGTCCGGGGCTGACGACCAGCACAGCTCCCGGAGCAGCGCCGCCGTGACCGCTGCCAGACAGCAGACCACCACCAGGTGGGAATGTTATACTTTTACTTTCCAAAACTGTAATTGGATTTATCTACAAAAAGTTTTCCCTAAAAAAAAAAAAAGACAAATTGAACTTCCTACTCCTGTGAATAACCTAAAGACAGAAACAAACAGTCTGAAACCAGAGGCTTCAGAAGATCCCAGGCAGCCGATCATCAGTTCTAGAGGTGTAGGATTCCGCCCACTGAGCAGAGAGCGCCCCGGAGACAGATAACTCACACGGGAAGGTGTGTGTTCTATTTCCTCGGATCGGGACCCGGAGAGTTTGGAACAGCAGCTACTGAGGTGGCAGGACCGACATCTTAAAATCCAGCTCCAGTGAACCAGTAGTTACGGGATCACACCACCGCTGCCCAGAAGTTTTGTTAGCACTCCATGGCCATCTAAGTAAGAACTCACAGGCAATTTTACTGAAGCCACACCCAAAAAGAATCCTTGAAAATTAGCCCTAGAAACAGCTGAATGTATACATGTAATGATATAGCTCTTTAAAAAGTAATTACATTTTCAACAGAAGAGATTTGATTCACCACAGAACGCAGCTCTCTGCACATCAGCCCCTCATCAGCCTCCACCACACAAACCCCTAATAGTGCTTTGAAAAGTAAATATATACTTTACTGACAGACTTTGCATGAGTTTACTTGACATTTCAAAGTATCTACAGATGAGGTTGAAAATCAAAAGTGATCTGCCTCTCTATTCTTGATGACCTACTTTATAGATGTACAAAACAAACAAGGCTCATGAAACCATGGTCTCACATTGACATTAAGAAAATTTTTTTTCTATTTGTAGCCTTTTTTGTTTGTTTGTTTTTTTAAAGATTTTAATTTATTTTTAGGGAGAGAACGGGGGGGAGAGAGAGAGAGAGAGAGAGAAAGAGAGAGAGAGAGAAACATCAATGTGCAGTTGCTGGGGGTTATGGCCTGCAACCCAGGAATGTACCCTGGCTGGGAATCGAACCTGGGACACTTTGGTTCCCAGCCCGCGCTTGTAGCCGTTTTTAAAATACCAGTACTATTCTTCCATTGTATTGCTGATAGAATCCAGACGAACACTGCAGACCCCCAGTTACTGGGTCGTACTGGACAGCGCTCATTAAGAACCCTTCGCCTATCGATCTTCATGGAAATCAAAGAACATATGATTTATTGTGATTACCTGCGAGTTAAAAAATAATAATAAAGTCAAGAACAGGGAAAGGAAATGAAAAGGGTAGGAAGAAATCCAGCCTCTTGGTGGTAGGAAGGGGGCACTTGGAAAACAGAATGAAAGGAATGAGAAACAGTTACTAATGTTTTCACTTCTTTGAAGTTAGAAACCAAGCTCACTGCTTTCCATAATATTCACACACCAAGACACACCATGGTGATTACATATGTAACCATCCTCAGCGAAACTGGCAAAAACTGAAGTGACCTACATCATTCAGCTACTTTTTTTTTCTTGGTCAAAACTAAAGGGTCACAGAGAAAAGCTGCCTATCGTTCTAGAACTGGCTCACCGTCGGAAAAGTGTGAGTCAGTGGCAGAGCCCACGCGACCTGTGAGAGAGACCCTCCAGACCTTGAACTCACCGACGCGAAAGGTGCCTCTGACCAATTCCCTGCCACAGAACAAGATCAGCGCTCGGTGTACAGGTGTAGCTCACGTCACTGCACCGCAAGGTCACACAGCACAGTAGTTAAAAAGCGCAGCCTAAGCCCAGCCCGAGCACATGGTACCCAGGAGGACCTTGGGCAAACTGATTCATCTGAGTCTCATTTTTCTCATCTGGAAAATAGGAACGATAATTATACATGTCTCATAGTGTTGTTACTAAGAGTGAGTGAGGTGACACGTCAACTGTAAGAGTACTTAGGCATATGAAGGGTTCAATACAGGATGGCCATGGGTATTATTGCTGATACAGCAAAGCACATCGAATCCTGTGCGTCGAATGCCAAGACTAGGCTGCTCTCTGACGCCCTCAGTCCGGAGCTTGCTTTTGTCTCATGAGGACTGAAAGATGGCACAGCAGAAAAATCTTGGAAACCCTAGAGATCTTCCTCCCCTAAACAAAGGAGAGAGGGAGCTACAGACCGACTGCAGTTTGTCCAGTAAGTGGAGACACGCCCAGAAGCTGTGCCTTTCAATCTGGGCTGCACGTCTGAGTCACCTGGGGAGCTTGTCGATCATACACAAGTCTAGCCCCCTCTCCACACAGCCCTAACCCAAGGTGCTGGTTTAACTAGTCTAGGGTAGAGCTTCGGCATCCATGTTTTTTTAGAAGTAAGCACCACGGGCGGTTGTAATGTGCAGCCGAGGAGGGAACCACCACCTAAGAGCGCAGAGTGGAAGGGAAAGGAAGACGTGGAGCAAACAAGGAGAGTATCAGGCAGAGCACGTGCTCAAGGATCATGCTGGTTTTCCATGTTCTAACTCCTAAATTCCAAGAGAGGGCGTTTTCCCTCCAGGCGGAAAATCATGAGGGAGCCAACCCAGGAAGGAGCGGAGGGCACGTCGTTGTTTCAGAAACACGACGACTCAAGTTGGTAACTACAGGCCGGAAACACCTCTGGCTAGGGGGACAAAAATCCGTGTGCCTGGGACCTCCCCAGCGTTAGCTCCAAAGGGGTCAGGGCCCTCCGTCCCAGGCAGGTGAATCACCCCGTCTGGAGCATGAGCTCCAGATCAGCATTTCCAACCAGTGCTTTCTAGATCTACACCGTCAAATATGGTAGCCACTCGCCACAGGTGGCTACTTACATTTAAATCATTTAAAAGTAAATAAAATTTAAAATTCAGTCCTTCAGCAGCATTAGACGCACTTCAAGTGCTCAATAGCTACTGGACTGGCCACGAAGTTTGTTTAGTTTTTCTATACAATGGCTCTAGTAGTGTTTAGTTGTGTTTAACTTCATTCAAAACAATTTTGTTACATTGTATTGTGACAGCTGTCATATCAGTGTGCATTTTAAAAATAGCTAATCAAAATAGTGAATTTTTGTGCAGCCATCTTTGTTTTGAAGATGGAAGAAGATAAGCAACATTTTCAGTGTGTAATGCTTTATTATTTCAAGAAAGGTAAAAACGCAACTGAAATGCAAAAATAGACTTGTGCAGTGTATGGAGAAGGTGCTGTGACTGATCGAACATGTCAAAAGTGGTTTGCGAAGTTTCTTGGAACTAGTGACATTTTGGTCAAATGATTCTTTGCTGGGGGGCTGTCTTATGCATTAGGAGATGTTCAGCAGCACCCTGGCCTCTACCCACTAGAAGCCAATAATGGGAGATAGCCAACATTCTCAAAATATCCAAATCAATGAAGTTATTTGTGAAAATGAAAAATGTGTCTTTTAGTTTATGGAGAAAACCATAAGGACTTTTTGGGTACCCCCATACAAGTGGCCAGAGGCTACCACAGTGGACAATGGACATAGAACATTCCTATCACAGGGGGAAGTTCCACTGGACAGCACTATTCTGGACACGTCTGTCCTGAAGCTCAGCACGTTGGGGTACGAGCTCATCGGCTCCCGTTATCGGACCTCCCCCTTCCCGCGTGCAGGATCTCCTTCCCCGGTGCCATCCTCCGCCTGGTCCTCTGGCTGCTTCCTCGGGATCGCCCAAGACTCCCCTCCTCCTCCCTCCTCCCAAGGATCATCAAATGGCTCAGAACTCTTCAAATGACTCTCCAGTCTGCCCTTCCTCTGCAGCCAGTGCTTCAGCTCTAATTCAGACATTTAATAATGGCAGAACCTTCTTGCCCAGCCTCCAGCCTCCCTCTATCCCCACTTCATTCCTTACGAGGTAGGATGTTAGCATAGTAACAATGCAACCTGGTCATTTCACTCTTACTTAAAAACCCCCAGGAATGTTAGGACCCTTCTCTCCTTCCCTAACCCCCCAAAGTTTAGCCTGGGAGACCACAATTCACTCCATTTTTCCTAAAGTCCCAGGTTTTCCTGAACCATCCAAGAGCTTGAATACCCAGGTGCCTTTAAAATATTTCCCCCCAATGTGTCAGCTGTGGATCGGACCTGCCACCTGGGAAAGCTGCCAAATATGACGACATCAAGAAGGTAGTAAAGCAGGCATCAGAGGGCCCCTCAAGGGCATTCTGGGCTACACTGAGAACCAGGTTGTCTCCTGCGACCTTA